AAAATTACAAGGATCTCCCCAGGACTGCTTACAATGGCTGCCAATATACCTAACTGTTTTTTTAAAATAAATAAATAAATGGGATTCATTTTCTACAAAATCAGTTCATAGCAAACAATTTGTTCACTTAATGACCATCACAAAAAAGGTTGTAAAATTGGGTTGGTCACAGGACCACTTTATTACTCTTACAACTTACAACCATAATGGGCAAGCTCCATTACAGTCATAAATCAAGGATATATTATTAAGCTGCCAGTTGGGGCAATCATCGGTTGATTCATAAAACAGAAATCTTTTTAAAAACGAATGATCATCACTGGAAAGTGGACTGGTTCTTAGTTGACATGCAATGGAGAAAAGTAGCATTTAGCCAACAAGGGGTAAATAATGTCTCTTTGATGTATCAAATCACTTAAATACGTACAGTTGAGTTTTATGGCTGAATTAGCTACTTCAGGATCACGGCTAAGCCGGGCAAGTGTCACTGCAGCTTTTTGTTGAACTTGTTCACAAGCAGCCGTTTCGGGTGAATTCCCAAATGGTGATTTTTCAGACAGCATTTCCATTAAAATTTGAATACCTACAAAAGTGTAAAAATATTGCTGTCAATTATCCAAGAACACGTTAAAAAGAATTGTTGGTTCAAAAGTCATAGTTGAAGATGAAGCAACACATAAACCAAGCCAGCATAATTGTAGGGGACAAAGTTAAATCCCAAATATCCTCAATACTGCTCTTTCAAATTCTGCCTAAAGGTATAATCTCCCATCGTTATTCCAAATATAGAAAGGAGAAGTGGTAATTTTAAGAAAGTAACTTACTTAAGCAGCAGATATTTAGCTGCTTCTATTGCCAATCCTCTGCTATGGGATGGGAGTGGCATCCTCATGTCCCATTTAAGAAAGGATGACTTCCACCACTAATGCCACAAGCCAGAAGTGAGAAACATCCATCAATAGCATGGATGACAATTCTGATAATGGCTAGAACTTCAGTGAAATTATTTGTCAGAAGTCATCCCTTCCTTCACCTGTCACATCTCCTAGACACAAGATCATCTCTTCTAGACTAGAAGAAAAGGCAAGCAAAGGGGAGATACAGTTCTTTCCTGGAGTTGACCCCTGGTTTGGAAACCTGGATAAGTCCAACTTGCTGACTGTTCAACAACAGCAAGCTGTTTCTCTCTGTCATTTCATCATGTATCAATTATATAGAGATGGTCAGTTGTCAGAGCAACCTTTAGGTGTAAGAGAGCACTTAAACTTCCAGAAGAATGCCAAGTTATACTCAAAAGCAGCTTGAATGACAGCATATGAGGAATTTTACAGTGAAGCAGTAGAGAGAGATGGCTCCCTCTCTATTTCTTCCCTGGCATATTTCCCAAAATAGGGAGGTATAACAATATCATCATTCCATATCTGAAATAGAAAAAAGCCATGATTTTGAAATAACCTGCAGGTATTTCAGAAAGAAAATGACATAAACTTGAATGCTTAAATTTTTTTGGTCAGTATTCCAAGATTTGGAGAGGTGAAAATGCCCAATTTTGTCTCAAAAACATATACATTTAGAGCTTTAGTAAAGCTGGTGTATAGCATTGCATTAAATGCTATTTAGCTGAAGGATGCTATTTCATTTTTGTTTTAACATGCATAAATCCTTTGTGTTTTTGTCAAAACATACATACCATTGTGTTGGATTATTTCTGAAGGACACTGGTCCAGCACAGACAGGTTTGCTAATACTGTTACAACCTAAATTAAAAAGAGGCAACGGTTTGAAAATTGACATTATACAATTGAATAACAGTTATAATGACTTATAAATCATTGATCGGCTACTTGGGAAATGACTCCTCCACTTAGACCCATTGTTCTTATTGCCATCGCATGAAAGCTCCTATTTTTATTGTGATTTTCCCATGACCTGTAATTGTCCAAGTATGATGGTCCTCTGTTGGACACATATTCAGGAAATCACTGTGTGAAAACATTTCATGAAGTTACATAATATTTTATTTTAAAGACTGTAGGCAGGGATAGACAACCAGAATCCTGTGCAGTAGTCTTTTCTTCAGGCCCATGTTTTCCCCAGCATTTCACTGAGAAATTTGCAAGCAAAAAAAATATGGTTGAATCTTAACAAAATCTCGAGCTGGGAAATGTGATGGGCCAATTTTGGGTAAAGACACTTTTAAAAGGATGACAAAATCTATGTTACTTACTGTAACTGTATCATTGCTATACTTTCTGCAGCTCTCAAAGACTGAAAATATTAATAACAGCAGAACAATTGTAAAAATAGTGGCTTTGGCTCCCAAAAATATTCCAATTCTATTTTGGAAGTTGATTTTTGTTTTGTTTTCCTCTCCTTAAATTTTTGTAATACACACACCAGAGATTTCTGCAGGAGAGGTAGGGATATGTCAACATGCCAGTTGCAATTATGCAATCTTCATTTAATATTGCTTATCCCATGCAGGTTGCTCCTGGTTCATATAACCCTTTTAGCATGAGCAACATATAAATATGTATCTACCCAACTGAAGAAATTATTGTATTTTAATTTGTTTTGTTTTAGTAGTTGGACAAGAATTCCTGTTGCCTAAGATAGAAGACATTCTTATCAGAAACCTTTATGAATAGAAGGGAAGATATCGTCTTTTGCTGATTTCTCTTCAACTTCTTCCACTTCCCCACTAAACTAGCTTCCTCTTCAGGAGTCTCATAAGGAGACCTTACTTGAAAAACTTTCCAGGAATAGAAGAATACTAAACCAAGAACCAGAGGATGTGGAGTTCTGGATTCTATTTCAATGCCCTCTGCATTGACACATTAAATGAATGAGGAATAGAGTTACAAAGGCATGATTTATACATTCAAAATGGTAAGACCCTATAAATAATGAAATGGAGATAAATACAGATATGCTGCTGTAGGAAAACTGTTCACAAGATGTCTATGGAGATTCTTATACTCATCCAGGTCATGGTTGTTCCAAAATTGCTTTTTCAAGAGGCAACTGGACTTTCTTGTTTTTCTTTGAGGATGTTTTGCTTCTCATCCAAGAATCTCCTTCAGGTCTGACTGGATAGTGGGGAATGGTAGGATTTATATTTATATTACATTCAGTCAGAGCTTCTTGGATGAGAAGCAAAATGTCTTCAAAGAAAAACAAGAAAGTCCAATTGCCTCTTGAAAAAACACTTTTGGGATTAGACGGAAACACTTGTAAAAAGTCAGACTCTATTTTTTTAGTTCAACCAAACCAACCTAAATAATAACTACAATACACCAAAGAAAAGGATTTTCCAAAGTAATCCAGTAATGCCTGAGGATGGACCTGAATACCCATATTTTTCGGAGAATAAAACGGACCTTTTTCCCTCAAAAAAGAGGCTGAAAATCTGGGTGCATCTTATACACTGAATAGAGAATGTTTTGCCTCCAGAAGCCCCACCCACTTCACCAAAATGGCTGTGCATAGCCTTATGGAGTCTTTCAGAGAGCTCCTGGGAGCTGGGGAGGGCAGAAATGAGCAAAAAACGGTCCATTTTTTGCTCACTTTTACCACCACCCCCCAGCCCCCAGGAATATGCTATAAGCGTCCTAAAGGCTATCCATGTACATTTTTTTAACAAAAAATGGGCCTGTTTTCACGAAAAACAGGCCATTTTTGCTTGTTCCCCCCCCCAAAAAGCACTTTGCAAGCCCCTAAAGGCTATTCATGCCTTTTTGGGGGGGAAATGGGCCCATTTTCATGAAAAATGGGCCATTTGGAGGAGGTTTGCAGAGTGCAAAAACTTTATATTTTATTTGCCTCTTCAAAACTTTGCTGCGTCTTATACTCCGGTGTGTCTTATACTCCAAAAATACGATATATGTGGCCCTGGTCCTACTTTAACATGACCATGCTACTTGTCCCAAATTTTCCTTCTTCAGTCTGTGTGTAAACCTTTGGGGTCAGTTTTTAATGCCTACCGATTACCTGGACGGTGTTATCATTCACGAAAATTATTTTTAGGTTCCTGCAGTGCTCTGCCAGTGAAAATGGAGCTTGGAAAATGGAGTCCAGGTAATCAGCGGCCCTCTCAAGCTTTGTTTTGGCTGACAGAGACACCACTGGCCAGTCCTTCATAATTTCTGGAGCCAGTCCGCGGACCTTGAGTTTGACACTCCTGGTCTAAGTCTTTCTTTGATTGAAACTATCAACATGAGATATGATAGTCTCCAGTGTCCAACTATTCCCATAATAAATTACTCGGCAATCCTAGACTTGCCTATTATTCCAATTTCAAAATACCTCAATCTAGGAATCCATTTTACCCTCAATTAATTCCTGAGAATTTATTTTTATCATTTTGTTGGAAGCAGCATTCATTGTGGTTAAGGATCATTGTGGGGGGGGGGGGAGGTTTCATCAGTCACAGTACATTGAAAAGTCTCTGATTAATCTACTTTTTGCACTCTGGAAATGTTCTGTTTCATTTGGGGTTGGGCTTTTCTGAGAAACAAATAAGCAATGACAATACAATAGGTCTACAAGAATAATTTTAGTGAACGATAAGGAGAAGTCTAAGCTTTTAGTAACCAGGTCTCTGAGCAACCATATTATAAGTTTTAATGCCCAGAATAAAAGAAAAACACGTGTCTTTAGCAGCAAGAAGACAGAGGCTTGCAGTGGTTTCTTTTGTTTTTAGCTGATACTGCATATACAAAGATTATTTTTCAAAGGGTTTGCAAAGAGAGAAGGAAGCAGCTATGGGAGAAAATTAAGAAAAAGAGCAGAAATAGAGGAGGGATATGAGAAGTACAAGAAAGGGAAGAGATATCAGAAAAGCATTTGAAAATGAGAAAAAAATGCTTTTTTTCCCCAAAGAAGCACCCCTGCAGAAAACTGAAGAAAAAGACTTAAATGTGGGAAATAACAACTGAGCAGAATTGAAAATAATGATATTTAGGGTCTCTTTGTGACAGATAAATGAGAAAAGCAGAAGACAATTGAGAAAAGCATTTGAAAATTGAAAAAGTAATGGATTTTTTTTATCATTACAATCTCATTTTTTAAAGAACTATCCTAGTTTTCTGGTTGTCAGCAATTTACACTGCAAAGTATTGTGTTAATTAATTAATATTCATAAGAAAATAGTTTTTGTGCACTTTTATTATGATTGCTGACATGATTAGAAAAAAAATCAATTCTAAAACAAAGATTATAGCATCATTTCATTAGGTGGCAAAGTACATAAACATGAAAGGGCCAGTATTCATTCATGATGATCTAGATATGCTATGAAATACATTCATTATTTTTTTTTTGCTGCAATGTCTTTTATTCCATTTGATGGTAGAGTTTTGCATTGTTGTGGCTTGCTTACCAAAGACTATGAGGGATCATTATTTGCATCTAGAAATAGCTGAACTTTGCTGCCATAGTTCCATTAGAGAGGGAGGCATTCAATTAACTGCTTTTATCGATGCAATGGATTCTGTCAACAAAGCAGGGAGAGGGGAATTCCCCCTTCCTCTACTGCTCCTCTTGAACTTTGCAAATGCTGTGTGAGTGGTAGAAATTAAGAGAAGGGAAATTCGTACACGACAAAGGCAAAACCTGTCCTGGCATTAGATTTATCTGAAAAAGACAAAGCTTCCTTTTTAAGGATCTTTTCCCACAGCAAATAAAGATAGGGAAAACATGACTTCAGTAAAGATTGTTGTTGTGAAATCATGTCCAACTCTTTGCAACCCCATGGACCATAGCACACTAGACTCCCCTGTCCTCCCCTGTCTCTGAGTCTGCCCAAACTCATGCCCACTGCTTCAATGACCCTATCTAACCACCTCATCCTTTGCCAGCCCCTTCTACTTTTGCCTCCATCATTCTCAACATCAGGGTTTTTTCCAGTCTTTTCTTTTCTCATTTGGTGGTTTCTCATTTGAGTTTCAGCTTCAGCATCGGTCCTTCCAAAGAACAGTCATGGTTGATCCAGGAGTGGGCTGCTACAGGTTCGCCCAGGTTTGGGAGAACCTGTAGCTAACATTATGGCTGTTTTGGAGAACCTTCAAATCCCACCCCTGGCTATCCCCGCCTGCCCTGCCCCACCCCTTCCAGGAGTCTACACGCAATCCATTTTAGAGGCGAATAAAGTGCAGGGCCCACATGGAGGCTCAGGGAGAGGGAAAATGAGCCTCCTGGAAGTTCTGTAAGGCTGGAAGTGGGCCCATTTCCGGCTTCCAGGGGATCTCCAAAACCTGGGAGAAGCAGTTTTCACCCTCCCAGAGGCTCGAGGAAAGCCTCTGGAGCTTGGGGAAGGCGAAAACACCCCCACACACACAGACACACACACACACACCATAGTGCAGGAGGTCAACTAGTCCACACCCACCATGGCCACGCCCACCAGGCAACCCGGCAAAGAACCCATTGCTGAAATTTTTGAAGCCCACCCCTGGGTTGATCTCCTTTATGATTGACTGATTTTTTATCTCCTTGCAGTCCAAGGGACTGTCAATAGTCTTCTGCAAGATCACTAAAGATACCTAAGGGTAAAACAATCAGACTCTACTTAATTATTCCTGGAAGAGTCCTCTGGGAAACTGCATATATGCATTCATGTAGATGAAAATGTGAACAAAGGAAGAACCCATTCTTATGTCTGGAAGCATCTTATGTGTTTGTAAACAAAACAATTGATTGTATATAAAGATACAAACAAGGGACCAATTGATATACCACACTAATTAGGATAAAAAGGTTGATTCTACATTGCTAGGGTTGGTAAAAGCCAAGCTTCCAAACTCTTTCCTGCATTTATTTTTATATCCATTATGAACTAGTGTGCCACTTTTTAATTTCTTAAGTATTTTTGAGAAATTTAATTACACAATTCATCATCTTCAGCTTTGTTAACAGAGACAAACTGATTACCTCATTTCTTACTCTGCTTCTGAATTTGTTCTTTAAATGTAAGGCCAGTCACTTTGTAAATGACTGTCACACATGCCAGGATATATTATTATGCAAAGCATTCAAGAGAAATAACAAAAAAAGAACTTCAGCCATGCAGTGACGTTTGCAAAACTAAACTAAACAAAAAAAAGAGTATTATTTCTGGACACAATTCAAGCTCTTAAGTCTCCAAATGCCATATATTGATTAAGAGCTGAGATAAATAAGGGATTGTTAATAAAGATGCTGACTCTTATATGAATACAGATCTTTATGGAGATTGTATCTCTAAGGCATTCCAACACAGGGAAAGCCCAGAATCATATTCTCTCCTTTAATCTCTCCCTCCCTCTCTCTTCCACTCCCTCCCTCCCTCTCTCCCCCCCCCCTCTCTCACGCAAACACCATTATCCAGGAATTCACAACATGATTTAGTATATGAAATAGAAAGTATTTGTTTCCAACCCTACTGCAATTCGACTGACTGAGCAGAGGTGATACTATCCATCTTACCAAGTAGAAGAAGCAATATGAAGAAGCAACATGATTGTGACCCAGTTATATTAAAGTTTCCATAAAAAGAAAGGGTTTCCTGATATAGTTCTCTTGGGCAATGGATTGGTTATAAGAGGTGGAAAAAACAATGCCAGGAAAGGAGTGTTGTTACTTATTTTTACTAGAAATAGGAGGTACACCTTGCTTGAAGAAGAAGCTTGAAAGAATGACTTCATTCAAAGCATTGTCCTAATTTCAGGTCTGTATAAGAAGGACCCATAGAAATAAGTTGACTTGACTTCATCCAAGGTTGGGGAACCTGCAAACTTCAGATGTCTTTGAACAATAACTCATCACTATCAAGTTGACTGATATCAAAGGACTTCTATCCTTGTCCTAATCAGTACTTGGATGAAAAATTAAATTAAAGGGTATGTAATGATTCTTTTATAGGACCAGAATCAGAAATAGAAAGTTTGTAGCTCAAGTTGTAGGTTTGTCCCCCGAGCTTGCTGCTTGGTTTCCAGATGTTTCGTTGTGCCAAACTAGAAAATATCTTCAGTGCGGTTTGGGGGGGGGGGTGAAGTGTCTTGTTTGTTTATATAGGTCCTGAGTGATTGGTTGGACTGGTCTATTGAATCACATGACTGATTCACAAGACTGGTTGATTTATAAGACTAACTTACAACCAGTGTAAGAACTAATAAGGAAACAGACCATCAGAACGCCCAATTGATGAACAGGCCACACCAGCTGAATTTCACACCTCACAGCAACCAGTCAGAACTCGCAAGACCACAACCAGTCTTGTGAATTAACCAGCTTTGTGATTCAGTCAGTCTTGTGATTTAATCAGCCCTGTGATTCAACCAGTCACGAAACCAACTGGCCACCCAGGACTTAGATAAAGAAACAAATCCCTTCACCCCCAAACCCTCCTGCTGAAGATGTAACCTAGTTTTGTAATGAAACATCTGGGTGCCAAGCAGCAAGCTTGGAGGACAAACCTCTGCCTATATAGAAAGAGTTTGCTAAGTAAATCTGATCAATAAAAAGACAGGTATATGAAATAGCACTTCTAGGGAACTTTTGTTATAATGGATTTTTTTTCTTTTCTTTAACAGATCAAACATTAGCAGTTTCCAGAAGTTTAGTAGGTTTTCCTTCTGACTGGCATTTAGAATTATCCTTTATAGAATTGTGACAGAAAACAAGGTTCTGATACAGAATGCTTGAGTTTTAATACCTTGAAGTTTTAATCACTATCATAAATGGGTAAATGAGAGGGTCAGCAGTTTAGAAAGAAAAAGCAAAGAAATATAAGTAAAATTAATTTAAATCCAAACATTTTTTGCTTGTGGATTAAAATGAGAATTTAAATCACCTATCTGATTTAACCATTATAAAGTGCTGCCTGAAATGAATATGATTTTTTGAATATTTTAACACAGCCAGTGATGATGCAACAAAAGGAGCAAAACCAAAATAGTATATTTTCTTTTAGAAAAATGAATTTATTTAAATTTATCATCTTTGGAGGAGCAGCACTATTTTTAAGAAATACTGAATAACTTCCAATCTCAATTAAATTATTGCCTTTTCCATTTTTGGTATGATGACTCATTGGATAAAAATGTCATTTCTATCTACTTGCTCTTTTAATCATTCCTAATTTACAGTATTTTTGGAGTTTGGCATAGCCAGTCCATCCATTTTACTGAATGGGGCGATTTGGTCAATCAAAGAGAACACTTTCCATTTAAAAATATTTTTTGCAATAAAAGCTATAAGAAATCCTATATACACTCCACTTTCTCATAGAACAGAAGGATACATATATTATATTCTATGTTGTACCACTGTGGACAGGGTTTACATGAGTTCCCACAAAGGGAAATTAGAAGAAAGAGACATTTCTTTATTTTTGCACAGCATATATTATGTGCTGTATTTTTGGTTACACTGACCACAAATAGGCCCCATGTTATCAGTTTGATCCTTACCAGGAATTGCTACCCATATTTGATGATTCCCAATAAGAATTAAAACTGATATTATTTTAATTATTCTTAAGTTGATTTATTTTCTTTCCTAGGCCATAACCTTTCAAACTAATAGCATCATGGCATTATATAAAGGTGCTTACTTCTAAATAGATTTCCAGAATGGCTACTAAAGCTATTACATCATCATAAGCAAAGTTATGTTACCCCACAAAGCTTGCTTCGCATGAGAACATCTTAAATAAATGCTACAATAAGAAGAAAAAGCCACGAAAAAGAATTCAAAAACTCTGAGGATATCAGCACTAAACCTATCTTAATCGTTAGTTAATGAACAGGGCAGCAAAATGAAGCTATTATTTCACATTTTGGGGCCATATCCTGTTCAGAAGATTTTGTCCATTAACTCCAAAGTTGGCTATACCAAGATCAGGGGTATTCTGGACTATTTCTTACATCCATATTTTTTTTCTTCTACTATAACAGCCATTCATGTTAAGTTCTCTGGACATACATTAAATATGCTTACCTGATCTCGAGAATAGGGACTATCCACTTTCTGTTTGTCAGAACAAGCTGCAATAAGAATCTTTATCGCATCCAGTTGAAGCAACATCTCACAGGCCTTTGAGTCCAAAAATGTAATATTGGCAAGTGCAGCTGAAGCCAATAGGAAAACTTCCCCAGAGGCAGCCTCTTGGCACAGTTCTAGGCATTAGAAAACCCAATTAAAATATTAAATTAAAACCAGTCCATTTATTTAACAGAATAACAGTCAAAGTTAAAAGGAATCTTGGAGGCAGAGGTGGGTTGCTACCGGGTCACCCCAGATTGGGTGAACTGGTAATAGTGGCAGCGGGAGGCTCGGCCCACCCTGCAGGATGCTTCTGCACATGTGCAGAAGCAGCACACGCACATGCGCCTGCAAGCACGTGCCCAAACCAGTAGTAGAAAAATTGGCAACCCACCTCTACTTAGAGATCTTCTAGTCCAAACCCTGCTCAAACAGGAAATCCTGTACCATTTCAGAAAAATGGCTGTCCGTTCTCTTCCCAAAAGCCTCCAGTGACCCACAATTTCTGGAGGCCGGTCATTCCATTGATTAATTGTTCTGTCAGGACATTTCTCCTTAATCTAGGTTGGTTCTCTCCTTGATTAGTTTCCTTACATATTTTGTTTGTTTGCATGTTTTAGAACATTTTATAGATGGGAGGGAAGATCCTTGAACATCTGTTTATTTCAAATAAAAATGCATGATACAAATGAGGTTGTAGCATAGAGTCTGGTTCTAGATATAGATTTGGTTGCTAGATAAAATGTAACAGTATGCATAGATAACTAAAACTAATTGAGTATGTAATTTTATAGAGTATCTTGCTATCATTACAGCTATATATTTAATCTAAGGCTGTGCTATACAACTTTTCCCTTCCTGATGAAGACCTCTTAAAATGCTGCAGACAGGGCTGTTATTATAACCTTCTAAGTGTCTTTTAATTTCTGTACACATTTATTTTAACTAAGATCTGACTCATCCAGAAATTTAATTTGTCTGTGGTTCTGGGATTAAATAAATAAGAACAGTAATTTAATTACTTAACTATAAATATTATAGAGAAATCAGAGATTTATTAGAGGAAAGATACCCTTTTACAGTCTTTTCTATCTAAATATCCATAGGTATAGCTGGACCTGAATGTCAAAAGTAGACACTTTCATGCTAACAAAAGATAACTCTCTACTTCTTAATCATAATTCTAATAGCAGAACTTCATATTCCAACGTGATAGTAAGTCAGGTGCTTAAACTATGACTGTTTTCCTAGTATGAAATATAAAGACAGATGAACACTTGGGATGCATTGTGGAACTTCTTAAACAACTTCAACACTATTTTCTTCCCTGATAATTTCTATATTTCTGAAGAGTTTTTTCCCCTCAGGTAATACATATGGAATACATATGGGGGTATGTGAAACTGGAAGGAAGGAAGGAAGGAAGGAAGGAAGGAAGGAAGGAAGGAAGGA